ATTAAATTTATTTCGACGGTTCAATAATCAAAATTATTACGTAAATTTAATAATTAAATTTATTTCGACGATTTAATAATTAAAATTATTACGTAAATTTAATAATTAAATTTATTTCGACGATTTAATAATTAAATTTATTTGGAATTTAAGATTATTTTTGTTAAATTATTATTCCAAAATTTCATTTTTCTTTCTTTTTTCTTTTTTTTTTGCATTCTTTGTTATTGTTAAAATTTATTTTTTTTTTTAAAAATTTTTTTCTGTTATTTTTCTTTTTTTTGTAATATTTTAAAATAAAATTAATAAAATTAATGCAATCATAAATGAATTCCTATTGTATATCTATTGGGCATACAATAAAATTAAATAAATATTTATATTCCATTTCAAATAAAATTTTTTATTTATCATTTTTAATTTTATCCCATACTTCTTTTACATCTTTTTTTTTTTAAAATTAAATGTTTTTGTTTTTTTGAAATAAATTTTTTTTTTTGTTGTTTTTTTTTTTTTTTTTCATCTTTTATTTCTTTTTTTTTTGTGTGTGATTGCGTTTAAACAAAATTTTTTCAAATCTTTTGATTTTAACTTTTATTTAAAAAAAAAAAAAGAAGAAATTCCTTTTATCATTTAAAGATAATAAAAGATCAATTAATGATAGATAATACAAGTAGCTCATTTATGAACTGGTTTAATGTGTATTACATAGCTATTTCATTTAAATTAATTTTGAAATTAAAAAAAAACAAAAATAAAAATTAAAAATAGAAAAAGATTTCAAAAATAAAAGTTTTTTGTTTTTTCATAACTTTTTTGTTTAAAATATTTGAAAATTTGTTATCAAAAAAAATTGTTTTTTTTCCTTTTTCGATCTGTTTTTCACTTTTTACAATTGTAATATTTAAATGTCATCTGATGTCATCAAAAAAAAAATAATAATAATAAATAAAATTTAATTTGACATAGCATTAATGAAATATTCAAATTAACTTTAACACTAATCCATTTTGTTTGATTTACATTGTCACATGTGTTTGTCTCTTTTACAAATTAAAATGTTTGAATATTTGTTGATTAAATTTTTTTTTTTTTTTTTTTAATCAACAAATTAATTTCGTTGTGTTAAACATTTTATTTGTGTTATTTCAGTGATATCATAAACAATTGATAATATTGCTGCTCAAAAAAATTTTTTTTTTTTTTGATAATTTTAAAATTATTTTTAAAAAAAATCTATGCAAATTATAATTATGCTATATTCATCGTTTATGCAATTGAAATTATTTTAATTAAAGTTTTGAAATTATCGTAATTTATGCTTGAAAATTATATTAATTTAATTTAGCTAAATTATCTTCGTACTTTATCATTGATTGAAATAATTAAATTAATTTGTATAAATTAAGAAAGCAAAGACAAATTGCTGATTTTACCAATAATTAAAATAATTAATTTAAATTAATTAGCAAATTTTTTCACTTTTATTTTTTAATTTTTAATTACCAACTGAAAGGCATAATTTTTGATATAGCTTAGATCAATCAAATTAAAAGTTTTCATATTTTTTCAGTTTACCTAAAATTTAATATTATTGCTTTATAATTGGAATAATTTCAATAATTATTTAAACTCAATTAGCATATTAGCTTAATAATTTAATCAAAAATGAAATTATATTATAAACAAATTGCGACGAGAATTTAATTATTCGAATATTATTTGAAAGTTTTTTCCATTAATTCCAAACATTTTCAAATATTAAAAAAAAAAAGACAAAAGAAAAAAGAAGAGCAAATTTAATTAACTAATTAAAAATTAAATTAGAAAAAAAATTTTTATTAAAATTATTAAATTTATTATCAAAAAAAATTTTCAATTAGCTAATTGACATCAAATCCCACAGGAAATTTTTATTGAATTTTCTCATTTGCATAATGCTTTTTCTTTTTTTCCTTTTTTTTTTAAATAATACTAAATTAGTTTTAACTTTGATAATATTTCAATCTTATCTTTTAGCAATTTAAAAAAAGAAATGAAAAAAAAAAAAAAAATTCTGAAATATATTTCGCTTTTTTAATTTTTAAAGAAACATTTCAAAACAAAACAAAAAAAAAAAAAACTTACGAAAAGGTGACGAATTCAAATATATCTTCTTTCTTTTTCAAAAAAAAAGAAAAAAAAGGAAACATTTCAAATTAGAAAAGAAAAAAAAAAAAGTTGTAAGATGAACAAGTTTTTGATTTAAATCAAAATTTCTGGAATTTCAATTTTAAACTTTTCATTTTTTTTTTTTTTTTTTTTTTTTTTTTTTTAAGAGAAACAAAAATGAAAAAAAAAAAAAAAAGAAAGCAATGTAAATGAGAGTTGTTTACCCTTTTTTATCGTATCTTTATCTCAATTGATGATTTATAATCAAGGTCAAATTCTCTTTTAATCATTTAAATGACACACACAGACACAGACACACACATACATATGACACAGACACACACATACATATGACACATACACATACATACATATGACACAGACACACACATACATATGACACATACACACACATACATATGACACATACACATACATACATATGACACATACACACACATACATATGACACAGACACACACATACATATGACACATACACACACATACATATGACACATACACATACATACATATGACACAGACACACACATACATGTGACACAGACACACACATACATATGACACATACACACACATACATATGACACATACACACACATACATATTATTTAACCTTTCCGTATCATTTACCATTTCCCTCAATTTACCTACCTTTCTTCAAATTTTAACAAATAAGCCCACGTTTACCTTTCCCTTCCTCAAGACTATTTAACCTTGAGCTATTTTCTTCTTTCTAACATTTCTCTATTTTATTTAATAAAATTTTTTAAATTTTCTTATCTTTTATGCTAATCGCAAAAAAAAAAAAAAAGAAAAAAAGTGAAGACGAAAATAAAATAAAAGAAAATAAATCATACTAAAAAAAAAGGAAGAAATTGTATAAAAATTATTTTTTAAAATATTGAAAAAAAGACTAAATAGTTTGTGGTATACATATATTTATATTAATTAATTAATTGATTAGCTAATTAATTAATTTTTTTAATATATTTGTTTATTTATTCATTACTTGATCAAAATGAAATGATTTTTACGTTTTAATAATAAAAAGCCATAGAAAAAAATAATTGATGAAATATTTAAAATTAGAAAAAAAATTTTTTTTTTTTTTCATTACATTTGTAATGATATTACCTATTTGTTTGTTTATTTATTTATTATTTAATCAGAATGAAATGATTTCTCTTTTTAACAATAAAAATAAATGGAAAAAAATAATAAACAAAATATTTGGTGAAAAAAATTTGTTCAATAAATTTGTAATGATATTAGATGATCTATTTTAATTTTTAATTAATTAATTAATTAATTTACTTATTACTTCAGGGAAATCAAAAAAAAAAAATATTTTAATATAGCAAAAGAAAAATAAGATTAGAAATAAAATAAAAAAAATTTTTCCCTTCTTCTTAAATTATAATTTTGTAACATTTTAACACTTTTTTTTCGATTTTCTTATTAATATATATTAATTTATACAATTTGATAAATTAATTAATTAAGCATAATTTAATTATATGTAATAATAAAAATTGTTTCCTACCATTTTTTTCTCTTTATTTTTCTTTCAAAATTTTTTTTTTCTAACACTTTATTACTTTTGATTTTTCTTAATAAAAATTTACAGAATACTAAAATTGATGCATTTTCTACTTTGTAATAAATGTATTCTTATAATATAGAAATAAATTCTATCAAATATTGTAGCAATGTTAATTAAGGATAGTAATTAGTTAATTAGTTATAGAAAAAATTTGTTTAATAAATTTATAATGTTATTAGATGATTTATTTAATTTTTTTTTCAAATTATTTTTAAGTTATTTTTTTTATTTTTTAATATCAATTGAATTTTTTTTTTCAAACTTTCATTCAAAATTTTCCTACCATTAATTAAAAAAAGCAAATTTTAATTTAAATATTACATTTATTTCCCTTTTTCTATTTTATTCATTCATTTCCGCTTTTTATTTACTTTTCCCACTTTTTCCGCTGTTAGCTCTTTCTCAAATTTCTTAAAAAATAAAAAAAAAAAAAAATTTGGACAAAAAATTGACAAATATTTTTGCTTATTTATTTATTTTAAAAAAAATTTTTTTCACTGTAATAAATTGATAATTCATTAGAAATTAATCGTTTACTTACTAATATTTTAATTAAATTATATAAGTTAAAAAGAAAAAGAAAATTGCAATTAACATAAATTTGATGTTATTTCATTGCTATCTTAAATTTATAAAAATAATAACAGGTTATTCTGAAAGTTTCAATTATTTCCCTTATTAGCCTTTTCCTTCTCCTTTTCTTATCAAAAAAAAATAAAATAAAATATGAAACTGGTTTGTTTGTTTGTTTGTTTTGTTTTTTTTTTTTTTTTCTTCTCCTTTCACTACCCGACAAATTGCCCGGGAGAAATTCTATTTCATTCAAATCTTTTCATTTAACTAGTTTAGACTATTTACATTTATGCATTTTCTACATCATTCTATTTTTTATTGTTTTAATTAAAAAATCACTTTTTGCTCTAAAATTTAAATTTTATTTTGTTAAATATTATCGTAAATAAAAAAAAAAAAAATTATTTTCTGTTAATTTTTATTATTTATTATTGTTATAAAAATTTGATAAATTATTTCTCAAATTATTTAATTCAATTTTTCCATTTTTTTTTTTTTAAATTTTGTAATTTTATCATAATTATTTTAATATTTTCTTTTTCATATTAAAAAGTAATTATTCGGCGCAAATGAAATTAGTAATTGCAGAAAGTAGTGCGATTAGCATAAACTGAAGCGAAAAAAAAACGATAACGATTGAAGTAAGTAAGATGGTTGGACGATATTTAATGCGAATAAGCATTTCTGTGCTTTTTCTTCTCTTATCAAACACATCGACGCTTATCAGAGGCAGTTTATCAGATAGTCAGTAAGCTATTTCGTATTATTATTATTATCATTATTATTGTTACTATTATTTATAATTATTACTATTATTATTCTTATCGTTATTATTTTTATTTTCATTATTATTATCATTCTTTTTATCAGTATCGTCATTATTGGAAAATATGACACGTAAATTTTTGTATTATTATTATTATCATCGTCATTATTATAAAATGTGACAGGTAAATTCTTATATTACTATCATTATTATTATCGCTATCGTTATCATTATAAAATATGAGACGTAAATTTTTATGTTATTATTTATGTCATTATCGTCATCATTATTATTATTATCATCATTATTATTACTAAATATGAGAGGTAGATTTTTATATTATTATTATCGTTATTATTATTACTATTATCGTTGTTATTATAAAATATGATACGTAACATGTTACTTAGAAAAATATATATATTTATATAGCATAAAATTTAATATACAGCAACCGTTAATGTCATATACAATCAACAACCAACAGCTATAATGAGCTGTAAGAGACGATAACACACGTACGTGTACTTGTATTATACGTAAAAATTTTATTATTTTACAATCGTATAATTATCGTAATATTCTGCGTAATTAAGTTTAATACCATAAAATGCTTTAATAATGACAATAATTTTAAAAAATGATAATAAAAATGTATTAGAGATATGATAAAATAAATTTGCAAAGATGAAACAAAAATAAGTAAAATTTACTTTTTTTTTACAAAAATTTTCTATTTTTTTTTAAATGCTCAAAAATTTTGCCAAACAAATATTTCAAATTTTAAATTTATTTTAGAAAGTATAAAGTTATACGAATTGTACCAGAATATAAGAATCAATTAGCAATTATTAATGAATTATTCTACCAATCAATGGAATCACAGGTTCATTCATTTATTTGTTTATTTGTTTATTTCTAATTGTTTAATTACTTTTAAAATCTCATCAACAATGTATATTATTGCTTCAGCACTAATAAAATTTCATTTTCGATTTTTATTTTAAATTTTTATAAAATTTTTCATCTTATTTGTATATTAATTATATTGCAAATATCTTTTTTTTGTTTGAAAGTTAATCTTTGAAATTAAAAAAAAAAAAAAAAAGATTAAAAAAATATAAAAAAAAAAAAAATTGAAGCTAACTTCAAAAATATTCATTCATCAGTTAAGCTAAATAAGCTAGTCGCTTTTTTCTTTTTTCTGACAACAAATTTAATTTAATTTAATTAAAATTGTAAATGTACGCTTGCATTAATGATTATTGTTTATATTATTTCTCCAATATTTTTTCTTTTAGAAATAATAATAATAATTAAAATTGCATAAAATTAATTCATTCTGTTAAAAATCATTGTAAAATATCCGGAAATTCGAAATAACTATACAAAATACGTTGTATTAAACATTTGTAAAATAGTTTTAAGATTAAAAAAAAGCAAATTAAAATAAATTTTACTTTTTTTTTTGACTTAAATTATTTATCCAACCCAAAAAGTAAATTTCTTAGTGTCAAAATTCAAAAAAAAAAAAAAGGAAAAAAGTAAAAAAAAATTATTATGAAAACAAAAGATTGACAAAATTACTGCAATTTTTAACTTTTCGTCGTTATTTAAAAATTGATAAAAAAGCTGAAATTGTACTTTTGATGATAATAAATTAAATTTTATCATTTTAACTGTTAAATTATTATTTCATCTAATTTTAGTTTTTTTTTTTTTTTTCTTTTTCAACTTTTTTTTTGGGGAGGGAAATAGAATAATATTTTTTGAATTTGTATAAAAGAACTAAAAACAAGAAAAAAAAAAAGTAAAATTAATTTTTTGGTTCGATGAACTTATTTTAAATGAATGTGAAACGAAACAAACTGATCTATCGCAATATAAACTTTTTTTTTTTTTTTTTTGTATGATTGAAATTTTTGTACGAATTTAAAATGTAATTAAAAATGAAATTTAAAAAAGACGAAAAATTGAAAAGTATAATCGAAGTTATTTATGAAATTAAATTTTTTTTAAATATAATAAATTTAAATTTTTTAAAAAAAATTAGCATTTCCAATTTGAATTTGAATGAATTTTAAATTGAAATTAAGATTCACATTTATCTAATATGTTTATTGTTGCTATCATTTACAAATAATTCTTACCAAAAAGTAATAATTTGTTAACTTTCAATGCTCTAATTTTCAAAATTAAAATTAAATTGATGGATTATTTAAATATTTTATACTTTAAAATATTTTGAATTTACTATGCATTAGCCAAAATAATTAATATTTGTGACAATAAAATAATGTAAATATTTGTTAAATTTGATATCACAATAGCAAATATATTGTTTTAATGCTAAATGAATAACTAATAATTAATGTTTTCTGATAAAAAAAAAAAAAAAAATGTGAATTTTAAATTATTAACTTTTTTAATTTAATAAAATATTTTTTTGCTATTTTTAATTTTTTTCACTTTTTTTTTTAAATTAAATTTGTTTTATTTTTCTTTTTTTTTAGTTAAATTTTTGGCGTGCACCAACAGGTATTGGACAAGCAGTTGATATTATGTTGCAATCATCAGTGATTCATTCATTAGCAAATTTTTTTAAACAAAATAATATCACTTTTAAAATTATCATCAATGATGTTGAGAAGTGAGTACGATAAAATGTAAATAATTTAAATAATTTTCTAACATTTTTTATTTAATTTAAATTTGCAATTTCTTTTAACAGTAATTTTAAATTTAAATCAAAATTATTGCCAATAATTTAAATTTATGCATTAATTCAGAAATAATTTTTTTATCAAAAATTAATAAAAATATTTGCATATTACATCAAATATACATATCATCTAATTTAATTTTTTTTTTTGTTAGTTTAATAATAATTTTAAAATTGAAATAATATTATTGTTAATAAATGAAATTTTTTGCATGATGAAGAAATAATTTTAAATTAATTGATAATTTTTTAATCAGAAATAATTTTAAAATATTATCAGTATTTATCAGATTGATCTATGAACGAGAAGGACAACCAAGGAAGAGTGATGGACAAAATTATGCGACAGTGACAGCATTTAATTCAATTATGGAATCATTTATGAAACGTTCAAAAGATGCTAATTTAATTAGAAATAAAGCAAAATATAAGTTTGGTGATTATCACTCGTATGATACAATCATTTCATGGCTTAATGAAATTGAACATTTTTATTCAAATATTGCAAAAGTATTTACAATTGGACAAACATTTGAGGGACGAAATATTAAAGGCATTAAAGTTTGTAATAAAAATTTTTCTTTTTTGCTTTTTTCTTTTTTTTTTTCTAAATATTTAAAATTTACTTTAAATTTTTGATAAGTGATAAATGTTTAATTAATTTCCTTTTTTTTTTCACTCTTTTCTTTTTTCCTATTAATCATTATTAATTATTGATAGTTTTATTAAAATTGTTTTTTGCAAAATTAATTTTGATATTATTCAAATGTTTACAAAAGTTTTTTTTGGAATTAAATTTTTTTTTTTTTTTAAAGATTGGAAATCCAATTGATAAGATTAATAAACGAATTATTTGGATTGATGCTGGAATACATGCTCGAGAATGGGCCTCCATTCATACAGCATTATATTTCATTGATCAGGTTATTATACCACTAATATTTCACTTTAAAAAAAAAAAAAAAGTTAAAAAATTAAATTAGAAAAAAAAAATGAATAAAATGTTGTTAATTGTTAATTAGAAAAGATAAGAAGAAAAAATTGTTAGTTTGAAGTGAAAAAAAAAAAAAATAGAAATAATAAAATTTCAAAATTTTATTTTCTTAAATTCTATTTTCATTTTATTACTGAATTTTTTTTTTTTTACTTCAGTAAATAATAAAATTTACAAAGGAAAAAAAATTTTTTTACAATTGTTGATGGCATATAGATAAGTTGATTTTAAAAAAAAAAAAAAAAATTTGAATCATTATATAAAATGAAATAGTAAATGATTTAATTTAAAATCATTAATTATAATAATAATAATAATATCACTAATAAGTAATGAATAGTAATAATATTACCAATAAGTAATGATAATATTAATTACCAGTTGTTAATTTGGTTCGTTATAAATATTATTTACAGTTTTAAAATATTTTTTTTTTTAACAAAAAAAGCGAAGAAATAATTATTACATTAAAAATTTCAGTTAATCTCACAATATGGCATTGATTCACAAATTACATCATACATTGATACGCTTAATTTCTACATTGTACCGGTTGTCAATCCGGATGGTTATGAATATTCGAGATCCGATCTTACACCACATGTATTCAAAATATATATCAAAATTTTATAACTTATTTTCTTTGAATTTTTTTTTTGAAAAAAATGATTAATAAGTAATTATATATAGTAATATCATTGATTATTAGGTAATATTATGTGGTATTATCATTGATTAATAAGTATTGATAATAATAAGTAATGATATGTTGCAATATCACTGATTAATTAGTAATAATATCTAGTATTATCATTGATTAATAAGTAATTATATATAGCAATACCATTGATCAGTAGGTAGTATTATGTGGTATTATCATTGATTAATAAGTATTGATAATAATAAGTAATGATATGTTGCAATATCACTGATTAATTAGTAATAATAAGTAATGATACATAGTAATATCACCGATTAATAAGTTATAATATGTGGTACTATCATGATTAAGATTGATAAGTAATATGTAGTAATATCATGATTAGGATTGATAAGTAATATGCAGTAATATCATGATTAAGATTGATAAGTAATATGTAGTAGTATCAAGAATGATACTAACTTATTATTAATTATTTTAATATAAAGGCAAAAAAAAGCCTTTACGATTTTTTAGATTTTATTTAATTTTGCATTATGTGAAAAAAAAAAAAAAAAGAAATAAAATGAAAAAATATAAAATAAATTGATTAGATCAATAATTTGTTTATTATTATTATTATTAGAAATTAATGCAATTCAATTTGATGCATTTAGTTATTTTACATATGCAAATTATTTTCGATTCGAATAATTATTTTTATTAAAAAATTAATACGAATCAGTAAATTAAATTTTTTTTTTTTTTTAAGGCAAGATTTTGGCGTAAAAATCGTGGTAAAAAAGTATGTTTTAAAGATCGTTGGTATCGTGAACGTTGTTGTAATGGAGTGGATTTAAATCGAAATTTTGATTTTTATTGGGGAGGTTTGTTTAAGAATTTAAATTTATTATTTTTTTTTTTTGAACTTTTTTTTTAAAAGAAATTAATTAATTCTTAATAAAATAAAAAGTAAATATTTCTATTAAAATTGAAAAAACGACAATAAACGAAAACAAATTGGTAATTTTAATCTTTTTAAAACATTAAATTTTAATACTTTGTAAAATATAGTAAAATACTTTTTAAAATATAATTACTTTTTAAAATATTAAATTTTTTTTTTTAATCAAAAAAATGCTTACAATTAATAAATGCAATTTTTTTTTTTTTTTTTTTGATAAAAAATCTTAAGTTTTAGTCAAAAAAAAAAGCAAATTTTTTTTATTTTCTCTCTTTTAACAAAGATTTATGAGAATTGTAAAATAAAATTATAATTGTAAAATTGTCGATTTATTAAATGAAAAAATTATAAATAAAATTTCTTTTTTATTTTTACTTTTAAATTAATTTAATTTTTTTTTTCTTTTAAATTACAGAAACTGGATCAAGTTCACATATTTGTTCTGAAATTTATCATGGTAATGCACCATTTAGTGAACCTGAAACAAGGTTATCATTATCATATGAAATAATTTACCTAAAAAATTAATTACTAAATTAATGAAATAATTAATAAAATAATTTCAATATGATTATTAATCACTATTAAGCATTGTCATATGCTTTAATTTTCTATTAGTAATTTTTCAAAAAAAAAAAATAAAATACTAAAATTTTACAATATTTAGTAAATAATTTAGCTACAAATTTTTTTTTTTTTTTTTTTTTTTTTTTTTGCAAATTTAATTTTAACTCATTTTTTTTCTTTTTCATGAAAATTCCAACAATTTTTATTACCTAAGAATGTAAAATTAATTATCTACCTGTTAATCTAATCTATTTGTTCACTTGCAAACATTTATTTATTTATTTTTGAACATTTTCAAAACAAAAAAAAAAAAAACAAAAAAAAGGAAAGTAATTAGCAAGAATGGAATGTGATAATTATGATAAATGTTATCATATGTTTGGCAAAAAATGAAATCAAAAAAAACAAAAAAAATTTTTAATAAATTTTAAATAAACTTTGTAGTAAATAAAAATTGACAATCAAAATATTCCTTTTTTTTATGTAAATTTGTAAATAATTACATAATAAAATATTTTGCAATTTATTATTTTTTAAAAACAAAAATTTAAATAAAATTTATTAAAAAAAATATTAAAAAAAAAATTAGTTTATTAATCATAATAATAAAATAATTTCTTTCAGCTAAATTTTTGCATACCTTTTATTTGTCGTATAATTTTGCTAATTAGTAAAATGATTATGTTTAACTAATTAATTAATTAATTAGAGCAATACGTGATAAATTATTATCAGCGGAAATGTTTGGTAAAATTGATGCATTTATCACTTTGCACACATATAGTCAAATGTGGATTTATCCATACGGTCATCAGCGCCGATCATTTCCAAATGATGTGAAAGATCTTGTAAGAATTAATTAATCATATTTAATTAATTAATTATTTAATTAAGATTAATTAATATTTTATTTAGTATGAAATATGAATAGATTTAATGATAATGAGTTAAAAGAAAAATAAAACAAATTTGTCTTTTTTTTTCTTTTTTTTGATTTAGACTTTTATTTTAATAAATTAAAATAGGAAATAGAAGTAAAAATAATTTATTTTCCATTAATAAATTTTATCTTAGATAAATTAAATAATATGAATTAGATAAAATTGAAATAGAAAAAAAAAAGGATATAATTTAGGAAAAAGTTGGAAAACAAGCGGTGAAAGCAGTTGAAAATGTTTATGGAACAAAATTTCGACTTGGTACTGGAGCTGATATATTATGTATACTATTTTTTAATTTATTTATTTTTTTATTATTTTTAATTTAATTTATTTTGATTAATTTTTCCCAATAAAAAAAGTGGAAAAAAGTATTTTTATGAAAAAAATGAATTTTAATTGTAGTTTTTTTTTTTTTGAATAACAAATAATTCAAAAAAAAAAAGAATGAAAAAAAGAAAAAAAGGGAAATAATATTAAATTCAATTTTTTTTTAGATCCATCATCAGGTGGTTCAGATGATTGGGCTAAATCAAAAGCTGGCGTGAAATTTGTATATTTGCTTGAATTAAGGCCAGGTGAAAATGGTTAGTTAATTAATTAATTGATATTTAATTAAGTATATCATTGGGAATATGTTGATTGGAAAATTCTAATTGAAATATTCGAAGAAAAATTTTCAAACTTAATAAATATAATCAATTAAAATCACTTAGATATACTTAAATCATTTAAATACTTAAATTATAAAAATCACTTAAATCACTAAAATCACTTAAATATACTTAAATCATTTAAATACTTAAATTATAAAAATCACTAAAATCACTTAAATCATTTAAATACTTAAATTATAAAAATCACTTAAATATAATAAATTATAAAAAATTATTTGAAATAAATAAAAAAAATTTTAAACTACAAAAAAAAAAAAAAAATTGAAATTTAGATTTTGATGGATTTCTCTTGGATCGTCGACAATTAATACCAACTGGTCGTGAGACATGGGCTGGTGTACGAGTTGTTATTGATGCAGTTATGCGATCAAAAAGTTTATCAATTATTATTTTTTTAAATAATTTATTCAAAAATAAAATAAATATAAAATTGTTAAAATTTTCAAAAAAAAAAAAACGAAAGAGAAAAAATACTAAATTTATTTTATATTTTATTTGTGAAAAAAAAAAAAAAGAAAAGAAAAACTAAAATAATAACTCAATAATAAATGTAAAATAATAATTTTAAAAAGATTTAAAATAATAATTATAAATATTATTCTCAAAAGTACCACCAATAAATATAGCATTTAAATCAAATATTTTAACAAATTCATTTCATTTATTTGTATAAAAAACTGGAATAGTAATTTAATAATAATAATAATAAAGAATTTAATTACAATAATTTTTAAAAAAAAGTAAAATAATAATTACAATTATTTTTTTTCAGAAGTACGACCAGTAGATATACCACTTAAATTAAATTATAATGAAACAAAAGCTATAAAACGTATTTCAACATTTCATTTTCCGCTTCAATATTCAAGAAAATTTATGACAACAGCGCCACCACAAATGAAATCACAATCATTGCGACCAATCAATTATAATTATCATTTGGAGAATTTACAACAAAGACATAGCATTATTCGACGTAAATTTTCACAACAATTTCAAAATAGTACGCTTTTTCGTTTTCTCTTTTTTTTTCTATTTTTAAATTTTATTTTTTTTTATTTTTTTTTTTTTTTTTTTTGCTAATATTTTAAAAATTTCATTTATTCGTTTTCCTTTCTTGCTTTTCAAATTTAAACTTTTGTTTACTTTTCGTTGTTTTCAAATCAATTTTCTTTATTCATTCATTTTTTTTTTTTTTTTTTTTTTGCTTTTTTATTGTATTTCATTAAAATTAATAATAGTTGGTAATTTCGTTTTTTTTTTTATTAAAACAAAATGTGAAATTTAATTTTATTATATTGGAGTGATAATTTCTCATAAGATTGATTAATTAAATTATTTGTTAGCTAACATTGTTAGCAAATACTTTTTTTTTTTTTTTTACTATCATAATTTAATAAATTTTTAAAATTTTTCCGTTTTTTTTTTTAAAAAAAAAAAAAAATTATTTTTCAGGAATATGCACAGATATTTCACCGTGGTGTATGAATTGGATTCGAATTAATCCAAATGTTTGTTTAACAGCTCAAACTTATATGCAACAACAATGCATTCGTTCATGTCGTTTTTGTTAAATTTAAAAAAAAAAAATTTTTTTTTTGAAATTGAAAAAAATAATTTATTAATAAAAAAAGAATTGAAATTATTTGAAAAAAAAAAGTAAAGAAAGAAATTAACTTTTTCTTTCTTTTTTGAGGCTATTTGCTTGTTTTTTAAATTAATTCATTATCAAAGACAAGCAAGAAGTAAATAAATAAGAAATCAATACAAAATGAAATCTCGGGTAAGTTTTTCGGGTAAGCTCTAATCGAATGAATAGATATGATAAAGAATTAATCGAAAAGCATTGATATTTCTTGTAAAAATTTATATTTAAGAAATTATGAAGAAAATTTTTTAAGTTCTTTACTTGCAATTACCCGAATTTTTTTTTTCAGACTTTTATTGTTTTCCTTTTTTCCTTGGGTAATGCTTAGATTAAATTATGCGAAAAAAAATAACTTTAAACAAAGTTATATTAAATTTAAAAGAAAGAAAGACAAAAGAAAACCGAAAATCTCAAAAGATATTACCAAATAATTTTTTTTTTTTTCATTTTTATTTTATAAGTATTTTATATTTTTTTATAAGCTTTTCAAGTTTTACTTATAGTTTGCCATTTCTCATAAATAATATATTGTTGTGATCAAAAACAAAAACAAAAAGAAAAAAGAAAAAAGGAAAAGACGACAAATTTATTAATAAAAATTTATAAAATTAAATTGATTCAATCATTTATTATCACTGAATAAAAACTTGAAAGAAAAATAAATTAAAAAAAAAAAATTGCAATGGACGATAAAATTTTTGAAAAAAAAAAAAATAGTAAATAATACAATTCTGATTACAACTAAAATTGTAATCAAAAAAGAAAACAAAGTTTTAATTTTTAAATTTCAAAAGTTTTAAATCTTAAATATTAATAAAAAAATTTTTAATTTAAATGTATGATTTTAATTCAAATAAAATCATTCCATTTCTTCTTATCTTTTTTTTTGAATTTTTTAACTTTTTAATGCTTTTTGATGTTTATTTGCTGAATGTTTATGATTTGATCGATTGATCATTTAACTGATTTACTTGAATGCTACAAGGCTTTATGAATTAATGATAAATTTCTAAATTTATCATTAATTTAATCAAATAAATTAAGAATAAATCTTTTTTTTTTCTTAAATCAAACTAATTAATTGAATTTTTTCAAAATAAAATTTATGAAATTTCTAAAGCAAAAATTTCTATTTTTTTGATGAGAAAGCAGAAAATTGCAATACTATATTGCTAATAATTGTCAAAGTTAATTTTTCATTTTACTTTAATCTTTTTACTTAGATTTAATTTTCTAATTATATTATTATTATTATTATTATTATTATTATTATTATTATTATTGGTATTACTTGTGAGTACAATCGTTATAATAAACAAATTAATTATCTTTCCTATTAAATTGACATCTGATTAATTTTTTTTTTTTTTGATTAGAATTATTTACATTTGATTAATTAAAGAATTATTGAATTTAGTTTAATTTTATATTTATCATTACGAAAATGAAATTATTGTCTCATTTACAATTCTTTTCAAATTTTTTTTTTTTTTTTCAAAAAGTTTCGATGCACAAATACGAATTTTTTATTGAAATACAACAAATTTATTTATTATAAATTGAATGAAATTCAAATAAATTTTTTTATGTTATCGTTTTTTTTTTTTGTTTTTTTTCTGTTTTAGATTAAAATATTATTTTTTACTTATTTTAATTTTAATTTCGATGAAAAAAACAAAAGAATTTTTTCTTAGTAAAACATTTTTAAATGTAAACAATAAGAAGGAAAAGAGAGAAAAATGAAAATTCAAATTTTAATAATAATCTGCAAAATATTTGTAAAATAATCAGCTTAAACTTTTCATTTTCTATGAAATCAAACTTAAACTATTTTATATTATAAATTTAATAACATTCAAACTTGATTTTATTCTATTGTTTTAATCGAAAACTAATTTTTGCAAAAAATTAAAATTTCAAAATTTTTCTTTCAATCAATTTCTTTTCTTTTATGATTAAATCACAAAATAGTTATATTGTTTTTTCTTTTAATTTCATTGTTTTTTTCTTTCAAATTTAGTATTATCAAATATTTGCTGAAATTTAATTGTAAATTTTGAAATTAATTACTAAATTTAATTGCAAGTTGTTAATAAATATATGTAATTTTCCGTTATTATTTGTTTATACCAGCATAAAATTTTCATTACCATAAACTTTTCCTTATCAAATCCATTTATCCTTTTTTTTTTAGTAATTAGTCGTTTTTATCAATTATCTTAATTAGTAGTTTTTATCAATTACCTTAATTATTCGTTTTTATCAATTATCTTAATTATTCGTTTTTATCAATTACCTTAATTATTCGTTTTTATCAATTATCTTAATTATTCGTTTTTATCAATTACCTTAATTATTCGTTTTTATCAATTACCTTAATTATTCGTTTTTATCAATTACCTTAATTAGCATTTTACCTCTTTTAACTCTTTTACCTTCTTCTATTTACCTTTAACTTTTTATTTTCATTTTTTGTGAAATTCTACCCAATTATTAATGCACGAAAAAATTAGCAAATGCTGCAAATATCACTTCCATTTCCATTTCAATGTTTTGTCATTTTCATTAAATCATTTTTCACTAAATTAAAAAACCATTTTATTGATTAAATTTCCCCAAAAAAAGTTAAATTTATTAAAAAAAACTGATTAAATTTCTGCAAAAAAAAGTAAAAAAACTCAAATGCCATACTTACTTCGATGAATTTTTTGCATTTCATAAGTATAGTTTCAATTAATATAAGTATTTCATTAAATGATTTCTGCTGCTTTTTGGATTTCTATTGAAATAAATGAATTTGAAGAGAAAAACAAATATCTTTTATATCTCTTATCATATCTTTTATCAGTTTAACACCAAACAAAAAAAAAAAAAACGCAAATCAACACATCAATTTTTTTTTTTTTGTATGAAAATTTACATAAGAATATATATAGATTAATTAAATCAATTAATATCGAACATTAATTATATTTTATTTAGTAAAGAATTGAAAATTACATGAAATAAAAAAAATGATTTAAAATTTTAAAAACGTCGACAATTTGTTGACAATTTGTTAGTGCCAATTATACTTGAAAGTATATTAAAATCAGTTGATAAATGAATTGCATGATCAATGATTGAAAATTTTGGTTTTACTAAATTATATGGTAGTTTCTCCGTTGCTAATTCAATAGTAAGTCCATTTGATAACTCATTGCTAACTGTCTGAAAAATTAAATCAAATTTTTATGCAAATTTTTGCTCAAATATTATTTATTTATTTTTTTGTAATTTTGAAATTTTTTAAGTATTAATTCAGCATTTTTAAAGTGTATCAATTAGTTAAACAATAATTTATAAAGAATTTTTCTATTTTAAAAATCATTTTTTTAAAACTGATAAATTTAAAATAAATGCTAATCATAATCAAAATAAGAACAAAAATGAAAAGTTATTTTAATTACAATAAAAAAAATTTTTTACATAATTTACTTATAGCAAAAAAAAAAAATCAAAAATAAAATAACTCAAATTCAAAATGAATTATGAAAAAATTGTACTCTTTAACATAATTTTAAACTATTAAAATATTTAAATGTTATCAATGAATTGCTCTGTTTATCCTACCAATATATATACTATCATAATATAAATATTATTTTATATTATTTAACACATTATCAAAAGCATTTGCACTTTATCAGTGATATCCTTGTAGTTATCATTATATCATCAGTACATTTATATATTAATAATTTACTTTTATTTTATCAAAAAAAAAAAAATAGGATATTATATTGAATTAAACTAACTTGAGCAATGATATCTTTTGATAAATTAGCTAAATTATCTAATGCATCCGGTGGTAAGCCAAGAGTTTCCTCTTTATCAATCAATTTTAGCGATTGAATTTTTATCAAAACGTTAACTCGATTAGCTGATAGTTGAATATTTCCATCAATAACACTACTGATAAGCATTGTGCCAACTTTTTCACCGCTATCATTAATATACAATGCAGCTTCAAGTTCCAGATTTACTCGTGCTGTACCTATAAAAATGAAAAAAGATTAATTAATCTTAACATTAATGATAATTCTGATAACAGAATGATAACGGAAAAAAGAGGAAAATTATATGAAATTATATTAATTAATTATATTTGCATAGTTATGTCTGTATTAATTATCTTACATATCATTTAATTAAATATTATGTTTAATCGTTTAATTATGTACTATCCATATTATTTACATTATATTATTATGTTTGTATTAATTTTTATATAGTATTCAATTATATGTTATGTTTAATTATTCATTATTCAATTATATTACTTATTATTCATTATTTATTATTCAATTTATTTTACTTATATATTACTATTACTCGATTATAATTATTCAATTATATATTATTTATGTTATTATGTTTATATTAATTATACTATATATTATATTTTATATTTATGTTATATTATATTATTAATTATGCTCACACCAATAATTTTATATATTATTTAATTATTTACATTATGTTATTAATTATGTTTGCATTAATTGTTATACATTATTTAATTTTATATTATATTTAATTATATATTATTTCTATTATATTATCAAATATGCTTACATTACTTATATTTGTGTATTATTTAATTATGCTAAAATATAAATCAAATTATAAATCAAAAAATATAAATCAAATTTATTCTCGCATTTTGATAATTTTTCTTAATTAAATTATTATATAATAACCAACTAACCATTATCTTTAGCTAATAATATCACAAATGGTGCACGTTTAGAATAAATCTTAACATAAATTAATTTTCTTGGATATTTTTCTCGAATAGCTGGCATAATATCACCTAGACATACACCTAAATCACCAAAAATATCTCCGTCATTATCATTGCTTTCTTGATTATTATCACTATTA